AACATATCACATTACACTCATAACAAAACACAACATATCACATTACATGCTGCTACACACATAACATAACACAACATATCGCATTACACACATAACATAACACAACATATCACATTACACACATAACATAACACAACATATCACATTACACACACGACATATCACAACATAGCACATAACATGCTACTACACACATAACATAACACAACATATCACATTACACACATAACATAACACGACATATCACATTACACACATAACATAACACAACATATCACATTACATGCTACTACACACAACATATCACAGCATATCACATTACACACATAACATAACACAACATATCACCTTACACACATAACATAGCACAACATATCACATTACACACATAACATGACACAACATATCACATTACACACATATCAGAACAGAACATATCACATTACATGCTACTACACACATAACATAACAGAACATATCACATTACATGCTACTACACGCATGACGTAGGTCATTTGTGCGGCACCTCATACGCACGATATGTTCTGTATGTTGTAGTTTGTGTGCATGTTAGGCTCGATATCATACTGTTGTGATTGTTATAGTTTGTGTGTATATTAGCCTTGATATGATACTGTTTTGTGTGTTGTAGTGTGTGTGTAATATCACGTACACTGACATTTTCTCCTGCCATATCTGTATGTTTGCCTTGATATGATACTGTTGTGTGTGTTGTAGTGTGTGTGTGTATTGTCACACACACTGACATGTTCTCCTGCCATATCTGTATGCTTGCCTTGGTATGTTACTGTTGTGTGTGTTATAGTTTGTGTATATATTAGCCTTGATTTCATACTGTTGTGGGTGTTGTAGTGTGTTTGTGTATTGTCACACACACCGACATGTTCTCCTGCCATATTTGTATACTTGCCTTGATATGATACTGTTGTGTGTGTTTTAGTTTGTGTGTATATTGGCCTTAATATCATACTGTTGTGGGTGTTGTAGTGTGTGTGTTGTGTAGTGTGTGTGTAATATCACATACACTGATATGTTCTCCTGCCATATTTGTATGTTTGCCTTAATATCATACTATTGTGTGTGTTATAGCGTGTGTGTAATATCACATGCACTAATATGTTCTGCTGTCATTCCATCCCTTCTCCTGTGTACTTACTTCACCACACCAATACTCTAATCTGCAGTCACTATACACGTATCGTGCCAGTGGTTTTAATCCTCTGCTCTGCTACATCCCGTTGTAATGTGCTGCTCTGTGTCTTCAGGGTGTGACACAGCCGCCCTTGGTGTAGGCCAGGACCCACTGACATCCGTAGTGCTAGACGGTGAACTTCTGACCTACAACAACTACGAGAAACGTATTGAGGACTTTGGCTATGTACAGGTGGCTGATATCTCATACACGTGGGTTGGCCTGCACAACAGGCGTGTCAGTATAATCGTTTCTGGCAGCCTTGCGTCTAGTGCTGTATCTGCGGGGATTAAGTGTCCTATGGAGACACACGCGGGGGGTTGTACACGTTATAACGTTTATCTGTCTATCTGTGGAATGCGTAGTGCGACAGTGCCGTTTGTGTCGGTGTGTATTGTAATCGTACATCAGCTGCTGCGTTCATCTGTATAAATATATGAATACGTGCACTACTAGCAAATGATTAAGTTGTACGTGTTTTATTAAGAGCTGGTTGAGTTATACGTGCATTATTCAGAAATGATTAAGTTATATGTGTTTTATTCAGAAATGATTAAGTTATATGTGTTTTATTCAGAAATGATTACGTTATACATGTATTATTCAGAAATGATTAAGTTATACGTGTTTCATTCAGAAATGATTGAGTTATACGTGTATTATTCAGAAATGATTAAGTTATACGTGTATTATTCAAAAATGATTAATTTCGCATTCTCAATATTACGTCTTCGTTTTGTACTTACATATCCCCAGAAAATCGCGTGGGTCATGAGATCAAACCCGACAGCTGTGTTGCGCAAGCGCCATCTGATGGTCGTGCTGTTTGACGTTATGTACTTGAATGGCCAGAGGTATATATACCTATACATGTTTTTAATATACAAATACATATTTATATATAA